TTTTTTTTAAGTTCGCCGGACTCCTTATCCTCCATATAGGGGATTATATTATCCTGGGGGAGGGGAGATATGGGACAATTTTCATTGGACTATTTATTGTTTGGATTAAAATGTGAAATGACCATTTTGACCCTGTATTATTTAATTATGTATTATATTTAACAAAATTCAATAAAATTTAAATGTCTCAATGTAAAAATAAAATAATTTTGTTTAACCTTTTATTGATGTTTTATTTATTTAATTTTTTAAAATAATTTTGTATAGATATTTTATTGATGTTTTATTTTAAATTTTAATAGATGTTTTATTTAATTTCATTGTTTTATTATTATTATTTTTAAAAATAAATTTATTTAAAATTTTAATTAAAAAAATAACATATATTTTTATTGATATTTTATTTACTTAATTTTTTAAAAATAAATTTTTTTAATTTTTTTAAAAATAAAATAAAATAAAATATTATTTAATCTAGCTAAAAATAATTAAAATATTAAAGATATGTTTAATAGTGCTATTACTTAGTAAACAATTGAAAATGGTTAAATAGTCTTTCGTTCATTTATCCTATCCAGTCCGTCCAACCAAATATTAGATTCACTAAAAATAGTCTTTTTCAGACATCTAATCCCACAAAAAAACAAACACGAGATGCACATTTAATCCAACCAAATAGTCCAGGGGATTCACAGTCCCAGGATTCAAGTCCGATGGATTCAATCCCCCTTATCCAGTTCGTCTAATCAAACACACCCTAAGTATAATATAAATGGACTAGCGTATGCTCATGCTTGAAGGCACGGTGTAAATAATGTTAAGATTAGAATATAATTGTAATATCAACACTATTTGAATTTATTTTTTAATTTGATAAATTCACAAATTTATTATAAAATTTTGGAATTCTCACAAAATTCCTCACGAAAACTCGCTTTTGCTTTATAATATATAACTAGACAGATAGATGTGCCTAGCATACATACAATATTGCTTTTGCTTATATAATTATATAGAAATTGCATGTATGCCGGTAATGTCCTAGTGTATTACGGGCATACATACATTCTACAGAAATATGTGTAAAATATACTGAACAAAAAGAAGAAAATAAAAAAAAAAACAAATAGAGAGAAAAATAAAAATTGGAGAAAATAAATAAATAAATAAATAAAAAAGAGAGAGAGGAAGATGGGATCATAGGATTATGAAAGAAAGTATGAGACAAGGAAAAAGTAAGAGAGAGAAGTGGGAAAGTAAAAAATGTACATGTATGACATTTTTTGAAAACATATCTCAGCCATTGTTTTATAACTTGAATAGATCTGAGCCATTTAAATGTCCTAGTAAGACAAAAATCTGTTAAAAATTCAAAAACCGTCTTACTTTATTAAATAAATATATATCATAAATATCGTTGTCATTTATTTATTTATTTATTTTTTATGCTGCCTTTCCAAACTTGAAACATGACAATTACCTCAAATAAATAAACAAGTCACATTTTTATATAAATATTTTTGAATGAATCATTATTAAAGAAAATTTAAAATAGTATTATATATACTAATAATCAGTGGTGCTATTACGGCATCAAAACTTTGCTCCTTCAAACGGACTGCTTGGTCCTCGTCCGGCTGTTACAACACCATGATCAAGACTAGGGGTGTGCGCGGTGCGGGTCGGTGCGGTTTGAGAGAAAAATAGAAATCGTATGGCGGGTGGCGGATTGATAAAAGTGTCACTAGAATTTGCCATTTTTCTTATAAAAAACTGGCGGTTCGGTTGGCAAATAATGGCGGATTTGCCTTGGCGGTTCGGGCGGATTGGCGGTTTATAAAAAATATAATTCAAATTACAAAACTTAAATCAAAGAGTAAAAAAAAGACGAGAGATACCGTGATGTTAAGCATCTTGCGAAAATTTCTTCTGATGCAGCAAGTGTAACATCAACATGATAATATCAACGACTATGCCATCAGTTCATTACAAGCATCTGTGAAAGCTACAATGATCAAATACAATACATAAAATTAATATCATTTAGGGTTTACAATATATTGAAAATGTTTACTGTTGAAAAGTATTTAGATTGAAAAGTGAGCTGATACAAGTTTGCAACATGGCCAGGAAAAAAAAAAGAGTGAAAAGTGAATTGGAATCCAACTTTATTTTGAATTACCGACATCTTGAATTCCCCTCGAGCAGTAATGTAATACTATATTCTAAGGTATAGAACAATAAGCAAACTTAAGTAAAAAAGAATTTTTAGAATCTTTTAAAACATGATTTAATAGCGGTGCGGGTCGGTGCGAAACAATAAAAGTTAGTATAATTTAAAAATTTTAATAAATTTAAAAATATTATTTAAATTCTTTATACATATGTGAGTGTATGGTTAAATTGAGAAAATTATTTATAAATCTTATTACGGGAACTTGCTCTATATATAGTCTTATGAAAAAAATTATATTCCTAAAGGTCTTATGATTTTCTAATGAACACATTTACCCCCAATTCTACTATATATGGAAATCTCAATATTACTATAGATTGTCATCATACTGATATGGACACGGTGTTTTTTTTTTATTTATTACTATTTGATTAGTGTATGATTAGGTGACATTTTACTCATTGTTTTTGGGTTAACACATTGGGTCGTGTTATCACCTCAATTGTAAGTGACTATATGGTCATATTGTGAATGTGAATGCATCCAAACGAACCCAAATGGGCAACAAGGCACCAAATCACAAGTTTGCAACAACATTTTGGGCCGTGTAAATAATCCTAACGTGAATATGTTATTACATTGGGTTCCGGATGTGGTATGGTCGTAACATGACTTCAAATAAGATAGGTGCATATTAATGAACCCAATGTAAGTGTGTGGACACATTGTGGAAACAAAACATTGGAATTATCTAGTTACATAACGAGGCCGCAAACAATTATTAACAATCAATGTGTTTGGTTTGAGTTTTTTGAATTAAATTTTTTGAAAGTTGACTTTTTTTATTTTCGTATTTTTTTGTTTTTAGTGAACATTTTTAAAATTTTAAACATTTTTTTTTACTTTTTTAGATGCACCTTACTTAGATGTATTTAAAAAGTAAAAAAATTGTGCAAAAATATTTTAAAAATTAAGAAATACATAAAAATATTAAAAAAATGTACTGAATTCTTGTATTTTTTTTTTTGTATTTTTAGTATTTAGTGAATTTTTAAAAGATTTTTTTTATAATTTTTTTACTTTTTAGGTATATTTATGTTAGGTGTGTCTAAAAAGAAAAAAATTTACATAGAATATTAAAAAAATTCAGTAAAAACAAAAAAACACAAAAAATAAGAAAGTAGAATTTTTTAAAAACTGTTTTTAAAAAATAGGAATCAAGCAAGCTGAATGGTATCGGTGACTAAATGTTTGCGATGTGAATGTGACTTGTACTTGTTTGTTGCAATATGGGCAACGAAACGGGATACATTGGATCGAGATCACAATAACTCAAATGTCATTGTTGTGAGTACATTGGCTATGGGTGTGGCATGGTCATTGCGTGATGTCAACTACGGAAATTATTGGGCCCGTTCAAAATAGGCAAATGTGAATGTGTGATTACATTGGGTACGGGTGTGACTTATAATACAACCTAATTAGTATCTAAATGTCACATGCATTGTAATACCATCATCCCCAATTGAGCGTAGCTTCGATATCATACACCAGGATTCAACCACATTCAAAGACAATAAATTCTTGATTATGTCATATTACACAATTGACGCCATTATGTGAATCACATAACCACATACGTGCCACATCCAATACGTAACAATGGTAATTGTCAAATGTCACATTTCTACTTCCATATTAGACACATCATACATGTTACACATTTTAATACTATATACAACAAAACGTAGCACAATAATGTCATTGACTATTTCCTGAATGTGGATTAATGTTACATCCTAAATGTAATATGTATTGAAACATCTTCATCCCAAACCCATAGTAACTTCGCCATCCTACAATGATGTTCGCATTCTGCATTCAATTAACAACTGGAAAATTCCAAAACGATTAGCCCCAACTTAACCCTTAAACCTATACACACTACACCCAAATCAAACAAATTTGATCACAGAAACCATCACAATGTGAATAACACGCGCGCGCGCGCGCACACACACACAAAAAAAAGCCTCTTCCCCTCAATCAATCAAAATCTTAAAAAGCAAGAAACACACAACCCTCAACCTTCTCAGCCATCCACCATATCCACATCTATTAAAGCAACAATTTGAAATGCAAGAGAACCCCACGATCAAAGCAACAAACAATCGCACCCAAGTTGTCCCAAATTTTCATTTTAGGAAAAAACAAACCAAACGTGATATATGAGAGATAAAATAACATACAATATGGTAACAAAATAAGGATACAATAGTCCACTACTACCATTGATTTACACATTATAAAATCTTATGAAACATAATTCTATTTAAAATTAGACTTCTAACTTTATAAAAAATTTCACAAGATTTCACATTAAATAAGTTCTCATAACAAGACTTATAAATAGTTTTCCTGTTTTTTGTTAGCAGAAACTTTTCCAAAATTGCTTGGAGCCACAATCCACTGTGGCTCACTCTTTTGAAAATAACTTATTATGAAGTGCGTGAAGTTCTCCTGGTAAATTTAGAGCTGTGCTCTTTCTTTCATATGCAGGGCCCAAATGGTTGGGAACTTTTTGTTTTTTTATTTATTCTAAAAAACAGAAGCTAATACAAAGCTTGCTTGGCAAATTATTTTCCCAGGCTTTTATTTTTATTTTTTAAAAGCTACTTTCTTACACTTGAATCAAAAAAAAAATATTTTTGGAATTTTTTCAAAAGCCATTTTCTTGCAATAACAGAAATTAATGTTCATAAAATTTCATTGTTTTTGTGTCTGCAAAAAAACAAATGATACCAAACAAGGTCTAACAACAAGATTAGCAAAAGCACAGGTGCATTTGAAGATACACATGAGAAAAAACAAACAAACCTTCAACACAATTCATTTTGATTCTTTCAAATGTCTTCTTTCTTCCTTGTTCGCTTAATAACTCAAGAGGAAAATAGTACAGGAATATAGAAACCAAAAGAAGCATGGAGAAGGATGGAATATTCAAGCCACAACAGAAACAACCGTAATGCTGATAACCCAACAACCAGACACAACACAAACGGTGACCCCATATCCCTTTACTACAATGTGGAACCTCCACGTAATCATGCAGGCATGACCTGGGATTTACTGTGACCAAAAGAGAAGCCAACGCCACTATCGTGAGACCCTGAGAGAGAGGGAGATGATGATAACCCATTGGAACCAACTGTAATGTAATAAATGCCAACTTCTGACAAACTAATGATGCTAAACAGCACTCTTCAAAATTGTGACCACCAAAAAACCCTCAACAAAATAGTTGTGCTCTCCACTGGATGACAATATCAAGTATTCCCTGTTGTTTGAAAATTGGACAAACAAAATCTCATTCTTATGCTCAACCAAAATCTGCAATAACATAAGATAAGTGTCACATATAAACTCAACCATAGAATATGTTTTGTTCTTGTACTCTGCCAAAATCTGCAACAACTTAAAATGGGTGCTACACAACCTCTCAACTATAGAATAGGTAACGTGGAAACCTAGTAAGTTGTCCAATCCATCTTCTTATTTATTTATGACAATAATAAGTTTAGGCCTCTTAGAACACCAATTAACCTCTGGGCACATGCATAATTCCCCTGTGAAATATCCCAGGGGTATCCCCAAGAAAAACATCTCAAACTTGCAATCCAGAGAAAATTCAGTTAAATAGCTATAGATATCCATGGCTAGAATTCATGTATTCAACAGTTTTACAAAAGTAACATAGATTTCATGTATTATGTTTGAAATTTTACATCTCAGGTCAAGCAACTACAACTATGAGGTGTAAAATTCGAAGGGTATTCATCAGATATAAGTACATATAAACTCGCACAAAGCAATTTTTTAAACCCACATTGCAACCCATACTGCACCCATGGTAAAAATAATGTAATAAAATATTTGAATCACAACAAACAATCCAACAAATTTACTAATTTAATGCATAATACGAATTACACAGTTCCACAAGGCAACATGACCAACAAAGTTCACAAGTATGATGGCATAGTTCAGCATGAAAGCTAGCTAATTTTAGTATAGAAAAAGAATGCCATGTAAAGCCCAAATCTAATGCTGTAACAGCCCATTAAGCACTAGAGCTACCCAATGCTAGTACAGAAGAACTCTATGCAAATAATCCCAGATCTGAACTGAAAGAGCCCAACAACATAATCAATTCCCTTTGTTGGGAGCTTCTAGTTACACAACAAACATATTTCCTTACACCCCTTATTTTTCAATCTATTTATTTCAGTTTTATCCCCATCTAAAATTAGCAAAAAGTACCCAAACCCTAATTTTCCTTGCACCCACCCCTTCACCACCACCCCCAGCCCCTCCCCTAGATCTCCCCTTCCCATTGCAACTTTTTCTTTCAGATCTAAAAACCCTATGGGGTCTCTCTTTGTCATTCTCTATTTGGGGTGGGGGAAGACTGGGAAGGGGGTTCCCAGGGATAGGGAAAGATTGGGAGCGGGGTCGTGCAGTGGTGGTGGATAGATGGAGGGGGCTGGATTGCGGTGGGGGGAGGCGGAGGTGTTGTTTACAGTGGTGGGAGGGTCACCGATAGGGGAGGGGGAGGGGGGTTGCAGTTTGGGGGCACTAGAGTGAGGGTCACCTATGGGGGAAGGGGGCTGGGGCTCGAAGGTGGCGACAGTGGAGGAAGAAGGTGGTGTTTGGGGGGTGGTGTTACTGTTGGGGTTTGGTTTGGGTGTAATGAGAAGTTGGGAGGTTAGGGAAGAAAGTATGGGTGGAATTAAGGGGAATGTAAAGAGATAAAATGAAAATTTTATATTTCGAAGGGGAGTGTAAACAGTAAATGAGTGTAAGGAGTTTTTTATGGTGTAAAGAGTAACTCCCGCTTTCTATTCCTTGTAAGTTAGTTTCTTCATGAAATATTGGACTTATGTCAAGTGAGTATTATAACATAAAGACCTCAGTATATTAAAGTGAAGAACACGGCCATATTGGATCAAAAACATGCACCAGAAAAATAAACACAATACCTACAAGAAAAAAGTAATGTAATTGAACATATATTACTCCAAGTGCACAGCTAGAATGGAATCCAATATCTAACCAAAAGGGGCACTGATTTGGCTACTAGACAGCACAATATGCTCCCCCACATAAAATCAAATACCAAACCTACCAAAGTAGCCCAAAGACATGTATAACACAAAGCCCAAAGTAAATATGAAGAAAAGAAGAGCACCGAAAGATGGGGGGCCCGTATAGAAAATTAGCATGAAAAGTAAAAGCTCATCAAGCTAGCTTAACTTCCTAGTGAAGCTAAATGTCACTTAGGGTACTAATGTTCTTGAAATTCTAGCATGCAAAAGCCTGTAATGGAACTGTAAATATATTCTTGCAAATTGACAGTTTCTCTTGTTTCTTTCATCCCAAAAACACAAATAACCACTTTGATTGCATACTCTCGACACAAAATTTCCCATTAATTCAGCTCCATGAGGATGGAGTCCACACATTCATCTCATCTCTTCTTACAGTTCATGCTTTCTCCCTTTTAGCAGTTATAGGAGTCCTCATCCTTGCTTGACTGAGTAATGGAGATGCAAAGTACAAGAAGCTTAAGGAAGAGTAAATTCAAAGAAGTGGCAATATTGGGAAATTGGCATGGTTTCAAAGAGAAATCAATAAGAACCATATATAATCATGTTTCTAATATTATTAGAGTTTTATTTTACGATTAGTTAATATTTTAGAGAATTTCAAGAGCTTTGAACTTTCTTTATGGATTGTGTAGATGTGATGCCAAGGGATTCTAGAAGTGATTCTTATACCTATCTTCTTCTTCTCCTTTCTTTCTTTCTTTCTTAAATTTTAGCACTTCCACAGCCCCAGAGCATCAGTTTGGTATCATGGCATAAGGTTCTGCCATGATGTTTTCATATTGTTATAGATCCAATATAAGTGGATTGAATTGGGAAGAGAGTGAAGCGCTTCTTAGAGAAAAAATTCATCTAAGGGATCTTCAAGATGATTTTTTTTGATCAATTGAATGCTCTTGAGTAAGGTAATATGCGTGCGATTGATTATGCAAGAAAATTCAAGGAATTATTTATCATGTTTGGAGTAGTAGAAAGTAAAAGGATGACTACTGCTCGTTTCAATAGTAAATTGAGATATAGAATAAAAGAAGAGATGTCTCATGCATATTTGGAAGATCTCAAAGATGCTATTGAAATGGCTATACAATTTTAATTTTTTGTAAAATTTATGTAAAAATGCAGAATGCAAACTCAAAAACAAAGGGTTAAAGTGCCACAAAAACATGCTAAAAATTCCAAACAAGATGCGCCAAAGCCAATGTTGTTTTTAGGGATGAAAACCCTACACAGTTGAAGTTGGAAGGCAAGGCATATATTCGAAATCTGCCTAACAAGAATGATGGCCAGATTATGAAGGAAGAGAAGCCACCCTTTGAAGCTCCATGTATTGAACTTGAAAAGGCTAAGGGTGAAATCAAAGAAATTGTCATCCCTTATGCTCTTAAGAGCAATGAATCCAAAAGAGCAATTGTTGGTCCAAAATATATAATACCTTTAGAGGTCATGACATTGCAATCCGAGGTCTCCGATGAATTTGCTCCAATCATGATTTGTGAAGAGTCCAAAAGTGAATCAAAAGATGACCTTGTGTTGGGAAAAGTTGCTTGGAATATTGAAGAAAACTTTTATGAAAATTGATTTGAATCAATTCAATGATGTGTTTTCTATGCCAATTGATTTTGCTATTCCAAACAAATTTAGTGGCATTATTGAAAATGTAATCTCTCGATCTGTTTGTTTTTATCTCCAACGAAGAAAAGGGTGGTGATCACTTGAAGATTTTAATGTGAAACCATGGATATGATTTCAAAGCTTGTGGATTATTATACTTTAACACTTCAAAATTCAAGGTCGAGTTTTTTCCAACCAAGTGAGAATGATGCAAAGTATAAGAAGTTCAAGAAGAGTAAATTCAAAAAAGACGAGATATTTTTTAAATTGGCATTGTTTCAAAGAGAAACCAATAACAACCATACAAAGTTATGTTTCTAGTATTATTAGAGTTTTATTTTATAATTATTTTATATTTTCTATTCTAGAATTTTGAGGCCTGGAGTATTTTCGTAATTTACATGGCTGATAACATAGGTTATAGGGGTCACCCATGGGTTGTCTTGTAGATCAAGTTATTTAATTAGTTTTTGTTTATATTTTTTATTTGGTCTTAAATGGATTTTTTGGGAGTAAAAAATTTAGTAGTTTCCTCTTTTGGTTCTGGTTGGTTTAGGAGGTCTCCTAATTCTAGTTGGTTCTAGTTGATGCAATCAAACACTAGGTGTGATGCCTAAAGGATTCTAGGAGTGATTCCTATACCTATCTTCTTCTCCTTTCTTTCTTTCTTTCTTAAATTTCTGCCCTTGCACAGACCTTACAACATTGTCCTTCACCAAATGGTTACACAAAAAGTGTTTGGAATGTGAATTAACTAATTATGTTAATTGCTTAAACAATTTGTCATGAGACGAGCTCCCCTACAACTGTTAATGTCCAGAAACCTATGGACTCTTTTCTCATGATGCCACGTTTCAATCATTTAAATCTAACAGCTCATGTAACACCAACTTATTCAAGCACTTCAAAATTCACAACTCTCAACTATTCAAGAAAATTGTGTCTGTCGTTAAATCTGTCCATTACCTCATTATACATCAATGTAACTGAGGTAGAAAGAGAAAAGGACTAACTTTTTTTTTAATAATTGAACTCACCATTTTTATTTGTTCCTCGCTACTTTTCTCCACACAGAACCAAATTGTCTCTTCAAACTCTAATTTTGTTTATTTATGAAAGTGATGTGCTACTTTCAAGGATCGGTAGTGGTAGGGGTGATTGTCACAAAATAGGAAAAAGGGGGGTGAACAATATCCAATTGATGAAGAAGATGGCGAGGTTGAAAGAAGTGGAAGAACTGTTGGTGGTAGCGGTGAAAATGAGATTGGCTCTAGCGGTAGGGAAAAAATTGAGTAAAGTAAGTTCCAATGGACTACACTTTGCCTCAAAGTTCTTGCTCCTACCTCTAATCTTTGCCAAGAACTACATTATTATATCTACCTGAAATTCTCAAATCAATATATTTTTTTCCTTCACCGCGTAGTATGTTTAAGTGTTACAATGATTCCATGCTTTTCATATCAGTAAATTACTACCGACACTTCAAGACAAAGAGACAATGAATGATTCCAAGGGTTAGGTGATTAATGTGTACTAATTGGGAGTTGTTTTTATTCGAGTGTAGCTTCTCTTAATGGTTGTTCTGCCGAGAGTTTTAGACAGGAAAAGGAGAAA